AAGATGTAGTTCTGTTGGTATCTTTAATCTAAAGCTGAGCTTCAAGTCTAAAACCATGATTATCAGTCAGGAAAAGGTAGATAACTGCTGGGAAGACGGGGATCGGTCTCTTCTCCTGCAGAAGACTTGAACTGAATTGTTGTCCTGTAACGAGTGCTGGAGCAGGAGGCAGGTAGACCAACTTTGTCTTCATTCACAACAGAAACAAAAAGTGAGGCTCCTGAAGCTGTCTGATTGAACTCTACTGTCATGAGTTTTGGCTGAAACGAGGAAGATCCTTGACAAAGTGGCTAATCTTGTAGATAAACATCTGCTCCTCATTACTGAAGAGAGTCAGTTAAGTTAGCTGAGCATCTGATCATGATTTATCTTGGTCTTTTCCCTTTGGAGGTTTGCCAGGCACCAGGAAAAACCCAAAGACAGAAAATGCTACATATGCAGGGTTTCCCCAAGTGTAAAATAAGCCTGATGGGCTACCAGGCTTCACCTGCTGCCCCTTCAGGTTCAGCATTGTGTTTACTTATAAGCAGGATTTTTGATACACCTGTAACAACAGCTGTATTTCCTTTGACCATACAACTGAGAAAGTTGCCATTTCAAACATACATTTATTTAATGGAAACGTCAATTTTGAAAAAGTTCTAGTTTTACAATGACAAGCCTTGGTGCTAGGATGAGGTGTTTTTTTTAAGCTGTATCAAAATTGACTTATTTTGCAAAACTGCAAAGGAAACACTTACCTAAAGATTGTTAAAGAGCAATCTTTAACAACAAACTACGTGTTTTGTTTGAGATTCAAAGGCTGTGAGAGAAAAAACAAACAGTCATGGACTCTCTTCACTCGTTCTCGTTTTTTTCTCTCTGTTATCCTCTGTTTTCCCTCTTTCTGGCACCACAGGATCATAAAGTGCAGCTATTGGTTTAACAAGGTGAAGCAGTGTTTCTACTCTCTCTCTCCTCCTCTCTCCGTCTATCTCTCTCCTTCGCCTTCTTAGCCAATCGACAGTGTCCTGATTAACATCATTTAGCTTTCCCCCCTCCCTCTTCCTAAAGGCCCTGGTCAGCTGTGATAGGCTTGCTGGGAATAAAACCTGGACGGTGTGGGAGGTGAGTGACATTTTGGAGCGAGATGGCGAGAGGGACGGTCGCCACATACCTGCATGGAGTGCTTCTCCTGGCTCTGTGGAAACCGTCGCAGCAAGGAGGTGGGTCCCCCTTCGGCGCATGTATGCAGGGCAGCACCTGCAGGTCAGGTGTCGCATAAAATGCATCATCAAAAAAATATGCATGTGTGAAGTTAATATTAGATTTTCAATGCTACTGGAGATCTTGTAGGCCTTCGTAGTTTAGTTTTAGTTAATTAAGAGATGACATATTTTAGATATTTATGTATTTCTTATATAATCTAATCAAGAACTTATAAAAAATGTCCAAATATCTACTAGTTTTTAAATACCTTTCAGGGTAAAGAAAAAGAACAGACATGCAGGTGCAATTTACCTGAAACCTGGCTGTAAAAGTCAAGTAATGTGACCATCTTTTTTGATAAAATTAAACATAAATATTTGATTTTCAGGGGAATATTTTAAAAATCTGGCTCCTTTTACTGTCTAGTGATTAAAAAACACTGAGGACTTCTCTGTAATCTTAAAAGGACAAAGTGTCTTTTCCATCTAAAGTCCAAGATGTTGACGTATCTTACTAATAAACATTTAATATGGTGATAAATTGTAATTGTACGTTAAATGCTTGACACATTATGCATTAATTGAGTAACTCTGTTATTTTAAAGTACATACATTGATGTAATTTATATTTCTAAATGTATATATAGAAAAAATAAGTATAATAGTAAAAGTTATTTGATATTGTCAAATAAGTTTTACTTATGTGAACTGCAAAAATTTGAACAACAAAGTTCAACGCATTTTATTGTGATTTTATGTGATAAATCAACACAAAGTAACAAAGTTGTAAAGTATAAAGAAAAAGATCAATATTTTTTTAAGTATTATTTTTTGATATGTCTAATTAAAAACTATATATTTGAGTTTTGTGGGAGAATAAAAGTAATTTCTGTTCTGTTTAACTTCCCATCTGCTCTGTTCAGTTTCCATGTCTTTGCTAAATAAATGCATTTACACCAAGATGCTGCAAAGTCTCATGCTGCTGCCGATGCTGTACAGTAATGTGTTAGCAACTCAATGCTGCATTGCCAAGCTGCACAGTTAAGATGCTGAGTTCATGGTGGCGCACAGTGCAAGTGAGACTTCTTCCTGCTTTCTTTCAACAATCTTTCCTCCTGGCAAATCCGCCTAAAAGGTCAGATTTGTGGAGAGTATGACGAACAGCTCACCCATAACTAGCCTTTTGGCTAGTTATGATTTTGTTGTTTGTGTGGCTTCAAACAACAGTTTGGATCAAACTGTTTCATTTTATTGATGAACAGATCTATAAATATCGTTTCCCAACTTCACCTGTTTGTTGTTCTGGATCAGTATGAACTGTATTTATACTGAAATTAAATCCCTGTTGGATGAACCATCAACATAAAAGTCTGATGTCTGTTAGAACATGACAAAAATGTGAAAAAGTTCCAATTCTGTAAATATTTTTCCAAGGCATTTTAACTACAGCTGGATCCATTCAGTTGTTTCATCTTCAAATGGTTACAAATCAACACAATACAATAAACCAACTGTGTGATGTTTCTGTAAATAAATCTAAAACATAAAATACTAAAGCACTTAAAAGTCAAATCTGAATAAATACTGAGGGTATAGTTACAAGTTAATAAAACCAAAATTAATAGCTGTAGTCCTGTCAAGACACATCCTTCCAATAAAACATGTATTTTTAGTAGATCTAAGTCTTCAGTTTTGCTTGAAGAATTTGTTTTCTAAAGCAACAACAGATCTTAAAGGAGCTTGCAGACAGAGCTGAGTGACTGAGCAGCTGAGTTATTTACTGTGTTGTTAATGTACATGGCATTACTGTGACATCAGCAACTCACATTCTTCAGGAATCCCTGCAGACTGCGTTTTACATCTGGACTGTGGTTTCTTAAGCTTTTCCTTTTATAGCCGTTCCCTGCATGTGTTTCTATTTTTGGCAGCAGAGATTGGTGAAATACGGAACATAGGTGCAGAAAAGTGTGAGAATTATGAGTGCAGAGGCATGCCTTTTCGGTTAGGCAGTGTTTGCTATCAGCTGCAGATAAATCAACACTTGTAAAAACACACAAACTCAAAGTAAGATAAAATAATATCTATCATAAATTCAAACTCTGAGGCTGCATGTTTAATACAACATTTTGTAACTTTTTTCACACTACTGTTTGTAACCAGGTGTATATGTACCATCCTCTGGAGGAGCCGGTGCAGGAGCTGGATTTGGGCCAAGTGGAGCTGGAACTGGAGCAGGAACTGGAGCAGGCTTTGGTGGAGCAGGTCTTGGTGCTGGTCTCGGTGGAGGTAGACGACAGCTCATTTTCTGCTTGGTTTTATTGACTCTGATTACATTTCCTGTTTTTTGGGAAAAAAAACCCAATGAACTGCAACACTTTAAGAGAATTTAGTTCTTGTTTCCAACACTTCAGCTCATAAAATAAGACACTTACTGGAGGACGGTGCTTTTGTTTCAAAGTTAATCAATTCGGTTTCAACCAACAAGAAAAAATAGACTCAAATTTGTGAAGCTTTTTTCACCTCTATGCTATAACATCCCTGACATCCATGTTCTGTAGATCTATCGGAGCTGACATTAGTCATACTTGTGATCATTTGCCGAGTGATACCTATAAGTATGTTGTGTTTAGGAACGGCTTGGTATAACAAACACCTGAAGTAAAAACATCAGTTTCAAGATATCGCAATATTATGATTAGGGGCGATGGTGACGACGACTGTAGGAATTCACCCCGTAATCGGTTGATCACCGGTTTGATTCCCAGTCATTCTGCCCCCCATCATTTGAAGCAGGGCTCTTCAGAAGGGCCGATGGTGCAAAATCTATCTTTTTATTGTCATAATGTATCAATATATGTTATATTGATACATTATGACAGTCAATAACATAAGACATTGATCATGATGCAACAAACAAAGGGCTTCATCAGTTGCAATTAACTGGACTTTTGGGAAGTTAGGAGAGCAAACTGGAAAAAACATAGGAAAGTTCTTAAATATTCACAAGTAAATTATGTCATTTTAATTCCTTCTCTAAAAAATATTGAGCTACATGCCTGATGGAAATGGCTATATTAAGAAACTTTTGTGAATAATAAACCAATTTAAATTCACTTGTACCTTAGGAGGATATGGTGGACAAGGAACCGGGGCATTAGGACCTGGAGGCATAGCACCAGGCGGAGTAGGACCAGGCGGAGTAGGACCAGGCGGAGTTGGACCAGGCGGAGTCGGACCAGGCGGAGTTGGACCAGGCGGAGTAGGACCAGGCGGAGTCGGACCAGGTGGAGTAGGACCAGGCGGAGTCGGACCAGGCGGAGTCGGACCAGGTGGAGTAGGACCAGGCGGAGTCGGACCAGGTGGAGTAGGACCAGGCGGAGTCGGACCAGGTGGAGTTGGATCTGGCAGTTACAGGCCTGGTACATTCGGTCCAGCTGGTAGTGGACTGGGAGTAGCTGGTGAGAAATGCTTGTTCCAGTTTATTGTTGATTCCATGTTTGTCTATAAACTCACCAGCAGTGAACCGTCATGTTTGGTTTCTTCTTCCAGGTGGAAAACCTCCCAAAACAGTGGGATCTGTAGAAATGGATCGCAAATTTTTGCTGCAATTGCATTAAGGCAAAATAAAAAATGAGGCGTTTCCACTTTGTTACAGGTGCTGGTTATGGTGGATTTGGACAGGGAGCTGGAGGTGTAGGAGGAGGACTGGGACCAGGTGGTGTCAGTCCTGGAGGCTTTGGAACTCGTCCTGGTGGAGTCGGTCCTGGTGGAATCGGTCCTGGTGGAGTTGGACCTGGTGGAGTAGGACCAGGCGGAGTAGGACCAGGCGGAGTCGGACCAGGCGGAGTAGGACCAGGCGGAGTTGGACCAGGCGGAGTCGGACCAGGCGGAGTAGGACCAGGTGGAGTTGGATCTGGCAGTTACAGGCCTGGTACATTCGGTCCAGCTGGTAGTGGACTGGGAGTAGCTGGTGAGAAATGCTTGTTCCAGTTTATTGTTGATTCCATGTTTGTCTATAAACTCACCAGCAGTGAACCGTCATGTTTGGTTTCTTCTTCCAGGTGGAAAACCTCCCAAAACAGGTGGGATCTGTAGAAATGGATCGCAAATTTTTGCTGCAATTGCATTAAGGCAAAATAAAAAATGAGGCGTTTCCACTTTGTTACAGGTGCTGGTTATGGTGGATTTGGACAGGGAGCTGGAGGTGTAGGAGGAGGACTGGGACCAGGTGGTGTCAGTCCTGGAGGCTTTGGAACTCGTCCTGGTGGAGTCGGTCCTGGTGGAGTTGGACCTGGTGGAGTTGGACCTGGTGGAGTTGGACCTGGTGGAGTTGGACCTGGTGGAGTCGGTCCTGGTGGAGTTGGACCTGGTGGACTTGGACCTGGTGGAGTTGGACCTGGTGGAATCGGTCCAGGTACAAAAAAGTTTTCTTAACGTTATTTCTGAATTGATTCTTTAGGTTTTTACTTTAAGCATTCTGAGAATTTAGTGAATAATAGTAAAACTTACCCAATGGTAGTTCAAATTTTTAAAATCGGAATAATTGCCTGATTACAATAACCGACTTACAAAAGATTCAGTCATGGAAGTTACTTACGCCATTAGTTATCGCTTCTTTTCAAATTACAACCAGAAACTTCAAGGTTTTATGTGGATTTTTGTCTGACACATCCCACAAGGTAGCAGGTAACTGAGAAACAAAAGTTAAACAATAAGTGGTTGATAATACCAACAAAAATATGCAAAGTTTGCTGGTCATATTCATATCTATTCTACTATCTTTAGTCAAACTGAATTCAGCATTGTCTTCTAAGCTAATTAGTTTACAGAGATAGAAAATTTAATTTAATCTCAGTGTATACAAATGTTCTGTGAAGCTCTCATGTTTGTGGGACAAAATTGGTGAATAAACAGGATGATGAAGACCAAATGACAAAAAAAAAAAAACAGGTTAGGTTTAACGGTTGGCTGCAAAACGATACCTAGAGCTAAATGCAAATGAGCGTCTGTTGCAGTTTTCAGAGATGCCCTCAGTCTAATCGCATTGATCTTTAGTCAATTTCCAATAAAAAGAGGGCAAAACATTCACTGAGACATACAGCAACAGACCTGCAGAGTGTGCATCATTTTCCTTCTAACTTCACATAAATTTCTACTGACAAGCATAAACATAAACATAACATAAAAAAACTGTTAAACACTTCAATATTTGGCAAGGCACTAAATATTAAGTAAAAGCTCCTGTAATGTGTAGAATCTAAACATTTAGTTTATAGGCTGCTTGTTTAATACAGTGAAAGTCACTCAAACAAACATAACTTGAAGTCTAAACTCTTGCACCGTGACAATACCAGATTAATCTAAATATTGTTTTTAAATAAACACAAAACTGGAAGATAAGCACTGTGTACATAGATCATTATTTCATTTCCTCTGACATCAACGTTATAGGCTATTGTTCAGGGACCACCCGCACACGTAGTGATAAAGGATATAATGTGTTAGGCATGGGAGTCCCTCAATAAACAATGGAAGTCATTACGTCAACCAGACAGATTTGCTTTGGAATTTGAAGCCTCCTTGTTTTTCATCCCTCATACATGCGCGTTGCCTGTGCAGGATGAAAAATGTTGATGATATGATGAAAGCAGCTGTTACAGAATAAGTCCCAGTTTTGGCAAACCTTTTGAAATCCCCCCATTGTCCCGGTGGGTAGAATATGGGTCAGTAAGAGGATAGAAAACATTCATAGAAAAACCTTATGTACTTATTTTATTTGTTAAACTCCATTTGTTGTGTTTTTATTACACAGAATGTAAGTTTATGTCTTTTCAAATGTTTAACTTATAACTGAAACTTGTCCTGACTGTTCCCAAGTTGACTATGAATATTTTTAAGGCAGGCTTAAGAAACTGTCATTTCTTAGGTAATGAACTTAATTACTATTAGGCCTCTATTAGAGGCGATTAATTACCAAAAATTATGATTTACATAATTAAATACTGGAAGAACTGCTTTAGTGACCATCTGAAAGTAGTTTAAAATAATACAAACTCAACAAAAGGTAAATCTGAGGAAATAAACCCAGACTTACATAAAGATAAAAAAACAAAATAGACAGTCATAATATGTCTCAATATTTAAAACTATAGCAACAAAGCCAATATTACAGAAGTAGACTAAAATGAAGAATTATGTCCCAGTATTATAAACTAGTTTACTTTATTAGCTGAACCAATTGAAAGAAGCATTAACACTGACCACTAGGAATTAAGTCATAATAATGTAACTCAAACTGGTTTGCATACAAACATTAACATTTATCTAAATGTCTCTAGGTGTTTATGCAGGATATGGCGGTGGTTATGGACCCAAACCCCCCAAAACAGGTGAGTACATTTTCTAAACTTCTTTCCCTCTTCAGTTCTTAGCTAAATGTGGTTGATGTGTTTTTGTTACCACAGGTGGGGCAGGAACAGCTCTTGGAGGAACAGGTTATGGGCCTGGAGGAACTGGATTTAGACCTGGGGGTACAGGAGTCGGACCAGGGGGTGCAGGATTTGGTACTGGGGGTGCAGGATTTGGTACTGGGGGTGCAGGATTTGGTACTGGGGGTGCAGGAGTTGGACCTGGAGGTGCAGGATTTGGACCTGGTGGTGCAGGAGTTGGACCAGGGGGTGCAGGATTTGGGCCTAGTGGTGCAGGATTTGGACCTGGTGGTGCAGGAGTTGGACCTGGTGGTGCAGGAGTTGGACCAGGGGTGCAGGATTTGGACCAGGGGGTGCAGGATTTGGACCTGGCGGTGCAGGAGTTGGACCTGGTGGTGCAGGAGTTGGACCTGGCGGTGCAGGAGTTGGACCTGGTGGTGCAGGAGTTGGACCAGGGGGTGCAGGATTTGGACCTGGTGGTGCAGGAGTTGGACCAGGGGGTGCAGGATTTGGGCCTAGTGGTGCAGGATTTGGACCTGGCGGTGCAGGAGTTGGACCTGGTGGTGCAGGAGTTGGACCTGGCGGTGCAGGAGTTGGACCTGGTGGTGCAGGAGTTGGACCTGGAGGAACTCTTCCAGGTGGAGGTGATGAATAAATTATAATATATCCAACAATTTGAAAATGTTTGTCTATTGTGCCTTGCTAAAAGGTTCATTCTCCTTCTACTTGTACAGATTTTGTCATGTTACAACCACAAATCTTTGTTTTTTATTGGAACTGTATTTATTAGTCAAACTAAGATTGGCACATATTTGTAAAGTGGAGGGAGTATATTGTTTTAAAATTTGTTTTGAAACACAAAGTTGAATCTGAAAATGAAATGCAGCCCCATTTGCTCTTCTTCCTTCACATGTGACTAATTAATATTTTTTAAATGATTTATTTATTTTTGGCTTTTTGAAAATAGCTGGACAGGAAAACGGGTTACAAGAGGTGGGAAAACATGCAGCAAAGGTCAACAGGCTTTGAAACAGTATTTTAATTTGACAAAAATTCAGTAAAACTTTAAGGTTCAAAATAAAGTGTCTGTTATTTGTCATAATAATTGGTACTGGGGGCATTTTTTAGGCATTGTTTTTAATTCTAAATGCATAATGTGTTTTTCTATTAACTGCAAATTTTCTCTGCAGCTCCGTTATTACCTCAGACTGGTGCAGGAGCCGGAGGAAAAAGTGGTGGTAAAGCATCCAAGCAAGTTCCAGGTACATGTCGTATGAGCTCAATTAATCTGTTACAAAACCGTGATGCAAAAACACCTCAAATTTGTCACTATAAAATTTATTATCATTGACAATAAATAAAATAAAATTTATATATTCTTAATGTAATTATAAATTACACAGGCATCGGCGTACCTGGACTTTATCAGGGTGGATTTGTTCCAGGTCAAGGTGTGTTGTAGAGCTTTATGTAACATGGAGTATCGTGTATTGCAAGGAAAAAAATAAATATTGGTCTTTCAATGTCCTCTGATAAGGTTTTGGAGGCCGAGGGGTTCTCCCTGGAGTAGTCACTGGTTCTGGAATTGGGCCTCAAACTGGTACGTAAATGTGCTTCAGTTATAAATGAGGTGAGAACTTGTCTTGGCACAACATACAAGTCCAACAATAAAACTCATCTTTTTGCAGGAACTGGAGTACTTGGTCAAGGCGGGGTAGGACAAGGAAGCAGTAAGTATCTCAACGTCTTAAAACTACAAGTTGATAAGTACAGATGTTACTAATTTGATTTCAAAATTTAAAAACTGGGTTACCATTTATGTAATTCTGTATTTTGTCTTTCTCGTCTTAGATGGTCGAGGACAAACATTATCTGGAGTTTTTCATGGTTACCCTCTAATATCACCAAAATCAGGTACATCACGACCTCTAAATGCAGAAAAACATTTCTATAAAAACAAAGGACATACTGAATAAACTAAATCTTTATTTAAACATTTCTGTTTTGATTTAGGGACAGGAAAATCAAAGAAGCCAGGAAAAGCTGCAGCCAAATATGGTAACTCAAATCTATAATCTGTAACTTACTGTGGAAAGCTGACTGGATGCATCATTGATGTTTTGGTAAACGTTATTTTTCTTGAGGTGGTGCTGGAGCTGGAGGAGGCCATCTTGGTCAGGGAGGTGCCTTAGGCACTGGAGGTCTTCCTGGAGGTGGCACAGGTATTGTTCCTGGAGCAGGAAGTGGAACTGGAACAGGAGTCGTACCAGGTGGAGTCGGACCAGGTGGAGTCAGACCAGGTGGAGTCGGACCAGGTGGCGTCGGACCAGGTGGCGTCGGACCAGGTGGCGTCGGACCAGGCGGCGTCGGGCCAGGCGGCGTCGGACCAGGTGGAGTTGGACCAGGTGGAGTCAGGCCAGGTGGAATCGGACCAGGTGGCGTCGGACCAGGCGGCGTCGGACCAGGTGGCATCGGACCAGGTGGCATCGGACCAGGTGGCGTCGGACCAGGCGGCGTCGGACCAGGCGGCGTCGGACCAGGTGGCATCGGACCAGGTGGCGTCGGACCAGGCGGCGTCGGGCCAGGTGGCGTCGGACCAGGTGGAGTTGGAACAGGTATGGGCAGCAGCATGCATGATTTCTTTCCTGCTCTTTGAGAGAACCCTATTGCAAAACACAACTAACAAAGCCATTTTTCTTCTGTTAATGATCTTATCAATAATTCCCTTAAAATTTTATTTAATAGCACACTTCAATTTCATGTACACAAGTCAGTAAATAAATTGATATTACATTTCACACAGGTTATGGTCCTGGCTCAGCAAAAGCACGCAAATATGGTAAGACATGCCTTCATGCAACTAACATCTAAAGTATGTAAATTTTATCATTTTAAAGCAATAAACTGTCTTTAATTTTTGTTGCTGGTCTAGGTCCTGGAACTGGAGTTGGTCCCAGCACAGCAGGGGGCGGTCTAGGAGGACAGCTAGGAGGAGGACTTGGCCAGGGTACAGGGTTGGGGCCTGGATATGTACCTGGGGGAATTGGACCTGGAGCAGTTGGACCAGGTGGAGTCAGACCAGGTGGTGCTGGGACTGGTTATGGATCAGGAGGAGTTGTACCTGGTGGTGCAGGGACTGGATATGGATCTGGTGGTGTTGGACCAGGTGGTGCTGGGACTGGATATGGACCTGGAGGTGTTGGACCAGGTGGTGCTGGGACTGGATATGGACCTGGAGGTGTTGGACCAGGTGGTGCTGGGACTGGATATGGACCTGGAGGTGTTGGACCAGGTGGTGCTGGGACTGGATATGGACCTGGAGGTGTTGGACCAGGTGGTGCTGGGACTGGATATGGACCTGGTGGTGTTGGACCAGGTGGTGCTGGGACTGGATATGGACCTGGTGGTGTTGGACCAGGTGGTGCTGGGACTGGATATGGACCTGGAGGTGTTGGACCAGGTGGTGCTGGGACTGGATATGGACCTGGAGGTGTTGGACCAGGTGGTGCTGGGACTGGATATGGACCTGGAGGTGTTGGACCAGGTGGTGCTGGGACTGGATATGGACCTGGTGGTGTTGGACCAGGTGGTGCTGGGATTGGATATGGACAAGGAGGAACTGGCACTGGAACAGGAACTGGGGGTAAATCAGCAGATACGGTTATAGAGTGAAATTGTTGACATAATTTCACTATATAACTACCAATTAACAGAACATGATCACTGTAATTCCCATTCATTGAAGACCCGTCTAATACTATGTGTTTATTTCAGGATATGATGCCAGTGCCAAAGCTCGTAAATATGGTAAGAATATTCCAAATCTGTAATATATGGATGAATAAAATATTTCTCCAACTGTTTCCTAAATTATTAAAACATTGTGATTCTGAACATTGTAGGCATGCTAAGTGGAGCACTTGGAGGACCAGGATTAGGACCAGCTGGAGTTGGGCCGGCTGGAGTTGGTCCAGGTGGCGCTGGTACAGGATATGGGCCAGGAAGAGTTGTACCTGGTGGTGTTGGCACTGGTGGCGCTGGGACTGGTTATGGACCTGGGGGAGTGGGATCTGGTGGTGTTGTACCAGGTGGTGCTGGGACTGGATATGGACCTGGGGGAGTGGGATCTGGTGGTGTTGTACCAGGTGGTGCTGGGACTGGTTATGGACCTGGAGGAACTGGCACTGGAACAGGAACTGGGGGTAAATCAGGAGATATTGTTATAAAATCAAATTGACACAATTTCACTATATAACTACCAATTAACAGAACATGATCACTGTAATTCCCATTCATTGAAGACCCGTCTAATACTATGTGTTTATTTCAGGATATGATGCCAGTGCCAAAGCTCGTAAATATGGTAAGAATATTCCAAATCTGTAAGATATGGATGAATAAAATATTTTTGCAACTGTTTCCTAAAATTATTAAAACATTGTGATTCTGAACATTGTAGGCATGCTAAGTGGAGCACTTGGAGGACCAGGATTAGGACCAGCTGGAGTTGGGCCGGCTGGAGTTGGTCCAGGTGGCGCTGGTACAGGATATGGGCCAGGAAGAGTTGTACCTGGTGGTGTTGGCACTGGTGGTGCTGGGACTGGATATGGACCTAGTGGTGTTGGACCAGGTGGTGCTGGAACTGGATATGGGCCTGGTGGTGTAGGACCAAGTGGTGCTGGGACTGGATATGGGCCTGGTGGTGTTGGACCAGGTGGTGCTGGGACTGGATATGGACCTGGTGGTGTTGGACCAGGTGGTGCTGGGATTGGATATGGACAAGGAGGAACTGGCACTGGAACAGGAACTGGGGGTAAATCAGCAGATACGGTTATAGAGTGAAATTGTTGACATAATTTCACTATATAACTACCAATTAACAGAACATGATCACTGTAATTCCCATTCATTGAAGACCCGTCTAATACTATGTGTTTATTTCAGGATATGATGCCAGTGCCAAAGCTCGTAAATATGGTAAGAATATTCCAAATCTGTTATATATGGATGAATAAAATATTTCTCCAACTGTTTCCTAAATTATTAAAACATTGTGATTCTGAACATTGTAGGCATGCTAAGTGGAGCACTTGGAGGACCAGGATTAGGACCAGCTGGAGTTGGGCCGGCTGGAGTTGGTCCAGGTGGCGCTGGTACAGGATATGGGCCAGGAAGAGTTGTACCTGGTGGTGTTGGCACCGGTGGTGCTGGGACTGGATATGGTCCTGGAGGTGTTGTACCAGGTGGTGCTGGTACTGGCTATGGACCTGGTGGCATTGGCCCTGGTGGAGCCGGTACAGGCTATGGACCTGGTGGTGTTGGCCCTGGTGGAGCCGGTACAGGCTATGGACCTGGTGGTGTTGGCCCTGGTGGAGCTGGTACTGGCTATGGACCTGGTGGTGTTGGCACTGGTGGTGCTGGGACTGGATATGGTCCTGGAGGTGTTGGACCAGGTGGTGCTGGTACTGGCTATGGACCTGGTGGTGTTGGCCCTGGTGGAGCCGGTACAGGCTATGGACCTGGTGGTGTTGGCCCTGGTGGAGCTGGTACTGGCTATGGACCTGGTGGTGTTGGCCCTGGTGGAGCCGGTACAGGCTATGGACCTGGTGGTGTTGGCCCTGGTGGAGCTGGTACAGGCTATGGACCCGGAGGTAAAATAAAAAACACAAACATATACTCTAATACATTTAACTTGGTTATTATAGTTTTTAGGATTTATTTCCAGGATATGCAGGAGCAAAAGCAAATAAATATGGTGAGGCAACCTTCCAAATATCCAATATCTAATCAACCTTGTGGTAAACTTGTTATTTACCGGGAAGCCAGGTATTTTTACGTCAGGCAGGGCCAGACGTAAAAATAGAAAAAGAATATTGTCACAATGTCTGAAACAACTTTGGAATTAGCCTTTTTTTATTTTTCTTTACCAGTTTTGTGTCATCATTGTGTACCGATGTAATCCTTCTTTATTAGGCTTGAGCAGTGAAAGCTCTATGAAGGCCTATTGTTTTTAAAATAAATTAACTTGGAGGTCTAAATATATACAAAACGAATCAAACTTCACCCAAAACTGTCCCCCAACTGAAACGTTTATATTTTGATGTGAGACAGGTCAACTGGTAAATCATGCAGAACTGAAATTTGGTTTTCATGCAGAACTGAAATTTGGTTTTCTTGTTTCAGAACCCACTGAAACAAGAAAAAAATGGTTGTTGGAGGGATGTCAAACTTGGTCAATATGCCCTTACGGCATTGGGGATTAAACGTTATCAAAGGCTTGAGTTTTCATGCTTAGGTCTTCACAAATGGCCTTATTTCAAAATGCTGTAGCTTTCACAATTTGAAAGCCCAAATTGCACCAAACTTGGTATTAGTCATCCATGTTGGATGCCCAATGATACTATGTAGTCATATACTGAGGTCAGCTAATCCCCACCCCTTCAGAACAGGAAGTGACATTTTTTCCATTTCCGACCCCATTCACCTATTCACGGTCGTCTTGTTGTAATATTCTTCTCTGCTTTATTTCTCAGGATATCCTGGTGGTGCAAAGTCTCTCAAATATGGTGGGATTTAATAATTATTTGACTCATTTAAAAAGTGAAAACAATTGTAAGATTAGCTTTTGACTTTAACTGTAACTATGATGTTATGTTTAATTGTTCATATGACAAATATGAATATGTTGACTAGTTATAAGTTCGCTGTAAACTCTCTTCTCCACAGGACTTCCTGGTGGAGGAGGATCTCCTGGATCTGGATTTGGGGGACCAGGAACTGGAGCAGCTCTTGGTGTTGGCAGAGGTTATGGACCTGGAAGTGGCTCAGTAGCTGGAACTGGTTATGTGCCAGGAGGAGGTTATGGTGTAGGCCCGGGAGCTGGATATGGGACAGGTTAAGATGGCATTTTCATCTCTTGAATACGCTCAAATTAGTTACAACTTGAAACCTGTTGAGTTAAAGTTTCTCTCTTATGCACAGGTTACGGGCCTGGATCTAAACCTTCTAAATACGGTATGAAAAGGAATGTTCAATATATAAATTTTTTGGGGAATATTTGAAATCGCGGAAAATGCTGATTTTTTTTCTGATACATTTTTTGCCAAAGGTCAAGTTGGAACAGGTGGTGGCGGAGTGCTTGGAGGGGGAGCCGGAAGAGGTGACAAGTTCTTTCTTTTGGTGTTTGTGTGCTGGTGCATTTTTTCATTCTCTTAAGATAACTAGAAACATTTTTTGGCATGATCTGAAAATGTTTTTTTTTTCTTATTCTATGGTTTGATGTTCTTAAAGGTGGCCTTGGACCTGGATCTGGCAGTCAAGGTTAGTTTGGTCTCTTTTATATCCCATAGATAAAATCTAAAACTCATTTAAACAATGAATTCTCTTTTATGGAGCTAAAAGATTATTGGTTGAAATTATTTTACAAATATTCTGCCTTAAGATGACTGAACAAAAATAGGAATATTCTATGCAGCTTTTCTCAGACATTATCAGAGAGCAGATATAGTCAAATATAAAAACTATACACAAATTTTAATTTTGACAATTGTTTTTTGCCATTGCAAAGTGGTAAAAGTGTTTTTGATAACTCTCATAAATGATAAAATGATCAAAATAATATCAGCTACTTTGAACTTACTGAATTCAGTCAACAATAATCACAGTTACTTCTTTTGCCATTCCAGACTTGGATGACAGTTCAGGAATGAAACAAAAAATCAAAACAAACAAATAAAATCATAATGTGCAACAAAAAAAGAGAAAGTTTTTCAATTTGGATTAAAAAGTTATCCTGTTTTGTGGTCAGAAAAAAATACCTTGGTTATCTGTACATGTTTTCTTACCATTTCCTTGTGAAATCAAGTGAAGTTTTTCTCTGTCCCCAGGCACTGGAACAGCAGGGAGTAAAGCAGCTAAGTTTGGTAAGCAGACAGAGGAAATTCAAACAATTATATAGAATTTAAAATGAATTTGTTAATAAATATCTCTTCTTTTCAACGTTAAAGGCCAGACAGGCGCTGTAGTACCTGGGGTTGGAGCAGGAACCAGTGCTGATGCAAATGGAACCGTCAGTGGTGCAAGACCAACACCTCAACCTGGTGGTGAGCTTATCCTTAATGTTTTTAAGATTAAAAACACTATTGTGGCAACTTCAGATCAATAATTGGATTATCTATATTCGATAAATCACATAAATTGGATCAGAAGGTAGACCTGGATCTCCAGATAGCACATCAACACCAGCAGGAGAAGGTACCTGTAATATTTTTGTTTCTACTTTAATTTCACAGATCAATTAAAGTAGAATTTATAATTATTCATAATTAAGAAGTTTTAAATCATTTTTGAACTAATTGTCCAGGTGATGGTGGTGCTAGCACTACGTTAGAGGGCTCTGGGATTCCTGGAGATGGTGTGTGAAACTTTAAATAATTTATATTAAATGAGAACTGTCTAGATTAAAAGGTTGACTTCATATAAATTAATATTAAAGCAGGACAAACTGGTGTAGGTGGAAGACCACTGGGAGGAGAGGGAGATAGTGCAAATGGAACCAGTATCCCCATCATTGGAGCAGCACCAGGTAATTCCAACCAAAATACTCATCAAATATGCTAAAGTGTTTTAAAAATATTATTGCGCAAATGCTAGACATTATCTTAAAGCTACAATTCATTTATACCCATTTAATCATCGTTCTAAAATAGGATTTAATGGGACCACAGTTCCAGGTGAAATTATTTCACAATTTGTAAAAGTGACGTCAGGTTATAATGTAATGTAATCTATGTGGGCATCTATAATTTCACTTTACATAAGCATTGTTTTCACAGACTTGTCAAACAGCATCCCCATGTGACGTTAACAGGACACTTTAATTTCATTACTCATTCAATCTGAGTAAAATAAGATTTACATTTTATATGTAAAATTTGTAAATAAGATAAAGTAACGTCAATCTGTAGAGACTCACACAGAGAAAAAGCAGCAGTTAGAAAGTTTTATCAATCTTTGGTGTTCGGACACCGGCAGAAGACGTGTGCGCCGTGAGTTTGGATGATCAGCTCGGGGCGAAGCTCAGGGTAGTCTTCCCCCCGAAAGAGAAACCAAGGCAAACGCTGACCCTGTCAGGAATTATTTAAATTTTCCTCATTTAATGATTTTGAAGATGTGCACCCCCCAAAAAACTTTAAAAGTTCCAAGAAGAAGAATTTAAATTTGAATCCTGAGTAATAATATGTTGTTTTCTTTTTACAGCAGGTGGTTCACCTGTACAAACAGATGGTAGGTATTACTTCATGAACTGATTTCATCCACTTTGTACACTATTGGTAAGTGCATCTTTTTAAAAGTGTTTCTTGTTTTAAACAGGAGGAACAGGAGTTGGTAAGTTGAACCATCAGAAATTAGGCTCACGCTTTCAAACATACCTGTTCACAGTTCATAAAATATTGTCACTTTGTTGTCATGTTTTAAATTTTCTCTAAAATTCAGGTGGAACAGGACTTCCCCCTGGAGGTGAGAGTTAATCATTGCAGTGTGTTCTAATTGTTTCATATGACCAAAACCACCATCAGTGGGGATGCTGTTTGACCATCAGAGAAAACTTGTTTTGATTTAATTTTCTGATTTATGCAGGTCCTGGAGGTGATCTCTCTGGGGGAGGACTTCAGCAAGTCAGTCCTCTCAAACCTCCAGGTGAATAAAATAAGTCTGGTTTAGGTATAAACATTATTTTTACCTTTGAACTATTTTTGTTGCTTTTTCAGCACTAAAACATGAGAAACACAAGCACAAGATGAGAAAGAAATAAAATAAGAGAACAAAATAATAGTAGTCATATTTCTAGAATATCTTCACATTTTGTCAAATTACAATCAAAAATATTAATTATGTTATTGCAATTTTATGTGGCAGATCAACACGAAGTAGTTTATAACTGTAAAGTGAAAAGTAATTTATAAATGGTAACATTTTTATTAATAAAATCCTGGAAAACAGTTCCTTACATTTGCACTCAAATCTTTTGAAATTTGAATACAATCAATGTTTTAAAAGTAAACAGATTCCATATGTTATTCATGTCTGAGTAAATACAGTCGGAGGGGAGTAGAGTACCCAAAAAGTTTACTCAAGTAAAGCAGCGGTACTTCAACATATTTTTACTCAAGTAAAAAGTAGCCATCCAAAAATTAAAATAAAAAAGTATTTGATAAATAGTCTACTCAACTACTGAGTAACAGATTAAATGTCAGTCATTTAATATTTAAAACATTACATCATTAGATGGATCAAAGTATACAGTTAAGTGGAAATTTTGGCATTTTAAGGATAAAAATAGCAATAATTCACTTCAGTAACAAAAAATGACAGAAATTTTTCTGCAGGTGTCTATCTGATGAATTTATGTTTTTTTTTCATTAAATGAGTAGAAAATCCAGAAATTTTACTTTAGTAAGAGATACTTACTGAAGTAAGAAAAAAGAAAAAGTAAAAAGAAAAAAGTAAAAGTACTCCTAAAAGTAATGTACTTGAGTAAATGTAACTAGTTACTACCCAACTCTCAATACAGGTAATCAAAAAAACAGCCTGGAAACTATGGCGGAGCAACATCTATGCTGTTTGGTCATCAAATAGGTTTTGTAATGTTTTCGGGTTTGTCTTACAGGTGTTCCTAGAGGCGACACACCAGGTGAGGGAGATGGGGAAGGAGGTCCTGATGGAGAAAGAGATGGAAGGCCCGGGAGTCCGGCCGGCGCCGGGGGAACCAGAAACATTTCTGGAACACAAACAGGAGTGGGAAGAGGTGGCAGTCCATCCACTGGAAGTGAAATGGGACCAGCAGGAGGAACAGCGAAACCACCTCAAGGTCCTGATTTTATCAAGTATATGACTAACAAACGAATGGACTAAAGTTACCAAGGACAAAAAAAATCTGAACGAATTCTGGAAAAATGTTTTTTTAATTTTATAGGTGTTGGACCAGGTGGAGTCGGTGGGGTGGCAGGAGTTGGGAGGGTACCCGGAGCTGGTGGGGTAGCAACAGATGTTGTAAAACCTGGAAAAAGTGAGCAGCAGCCATGTTTTGTCTTCAGAAAGTTTTTCATTCATCTGTAATTCACTGACATTTAATTTGTACATCTCACTTATCGTCTGCTGCAGGCTACGGAGCAAATGGAGTTTTACCAGGTGGAGGTACGTAAACTTGCACTCCAACGTTAGAAAACGCTGTAACTGTGGTACAGCATGTACGTTCTTTCCCACTCAGGTCCACGCTACCCTGGTGCTGGCGGCTATGGTACCGGTACAGGAGGTTTTGGTGTAGGTCCAGGTGGATATGGTACTGGGTCTGGTGGATTTGGGAGACCCATTGGAGGTTCTGGCAGTGTTGGGACTCCTGGGGTTGGAACAGGCCCTGGAGGTGTAGCACCAGGCTCAGGTAGCGTCAGCACTGGACTGGGTGGATATGGTGGTGGCATCAGACCTGATGGTAGGTTCACTAGTACAAACGTTTAAAAAATAAAAACAAGTAAAACAGTTGGATTTGTGTTTAGTTTGAACAAACTCTAACAGGGAACCTGTTTATGTTAACCAGGTTCTAGATATGGCACCGGTTACGGACCTGGGAAACCCCCAAAAAGTATGAAAGCACAGAATAAGTGCAAATTATAATGGGAGGAAACTGGAACTGAACAGGATTTAATTTCAGGTTATGGAGCTGGAGCTGGCCTTGGCAGCTATGGAACTGGATCAGGGGGAGTTGGTGCAGGTGGCTTGGTGCCTGGTGGTGGTTACGGATCCAGCGGTACTGGTCAAGGAGGACTTGGCCCTGGCTCTGTTGGCACAGGACTGGGAGGTGTTGGAACCAGACCAGGTGCCTTTGGTGGTGTTGGTACTGGTGGAGTAGGGCCTATTCCTGGTGTATATACTGGAGGTCAAGGACTGGGATCAAGAAAACCGTCAAAAACAGGTAGAATAACAAATACATTTAACAATTAAATACTGTGACACATTTCAAAACATTAAACTTTGTTGACAGGCTATGGAACATCGCTGGGTGGAACTGGATATGGACAAGGTAATCTAATTTTATTCATTTATTTTAAAAGGGAAAAGCACATTGATGAACGTGATTAAACCCCTTGAATGAGCCAGCTTTCCCTCACATGTTGATAACAGGGTTTCCTCCAAATACTCAGGTTGAAGCCAAACAACATCTGTCAAACTAGAACAGAATTTGTATTGACATTTTTCAGGTGCAGGAGTTGGAGCCGGTGGAGCAGGAACTGGACCTGGCAGATATGGACCTGGTTCTTTTGGGACTGGAGGAGTCGCACCTGGTGGAGCTGGGACTGGAACTGGAGGCTTTGGACCTGGTGGTGCTGGAACTGGGGGCTTTGGCCCTGCTGGTGCTGGAACTGGAGGCTTTGGACCTGGTGGTGCTGGAACTGGGGGCTTTGGCCCTGCTAGTGCTGGAACTGGGGGATTTGGCCCTGCTAGTGCTGGAACTGGGGGATTTGGCCCTGCTGGTGCTGGAACTGGAGGCTTTGGACCTGGTGGTGCTGGAACTGGGGGCTTTGGCCCTGCTGGTGCTGGAACTGGGGGCTTTGGACCTGCTGGTGCTGGAACTGGGGGCTTTGGCCCTGCTGGTGCTGGAACTGGGGGATTTGGCCCTGCTGGTGCTGGAACTGGGGGCTTTGGACCTGCTGGTGCTGGAACTGGGGGATTTGGACCTGGTGGTGCTGGAACTGGGGGCTTTGGACCTGGTGGTCAAGGACTTGGAAAAAGGAAACCTAAATCTGGTATGTAGGGTTCACACAGGTAGACATACAAATGGCTTTGATTTTTTTTGAAAATAATAAAACAGTTTTAATTTTCATCTTTTCATCTCTGCACATTCAGGTTATGGAGGAACTGGTTATGGACCAGGTAATCCAGATTAAGTTTAATCAATAATGAATTTATATCTATATTTATGTGTCTTTAATGCACTCTTTGTGCTGACAGGAGGCTCAGGAGGAGCCGGTCTTGGTGGAACTGGAGCCAGACCTGGAGGATATGGCACAGGTGGCACTGGGGGTGCTGGATCTACTGGTTTTGGTCCTGGAGGAGCCGGAGGAGGCAGCTTCGGTCCTGGTGGCGAAGCACTTGGATCAAGAAAGTCTGGATATGGTTCAACTTTGGGTGCAACTGGATATGGACAAGGTAAATTTCTCTAATATGCCATTTTAAAAACAAAACATTAAAAAAGTTGAGGTTATACTTTACTTGTTGATAGTTCTGGTCTTTCACTCCCTACATCCATAGTTTTACAGTCAAAAAGGACAAACAAATTATAGTGGGTTAAAACAGGGACGTTCTGAAACATCTAACTTTGAACACTGTCTCAGTGATTCCTAACAATGTTCTGGGAATCCGGTCTGAACAATGTCTGCCACTGACCTTTCACACAAGCATTGAACAACGAGACAAACCAGCCATGTAAATGTTGACATTTCATTACTGAGTTTGCTCCAGACAATTTCCTGCTTTGGGCTGGGATCTGGTTGCATGCTACATTTACAGACATGACATAATAAAGCCTCATTGAGTGCGCTGGTCATTTATATACATTGGTCGCCTTTGCCTAATTTTTTTTAATTTAAAATGTGATTAACCTAATATGTAAAATTGGCTATTTTTGAGCCTCACATTATGTTTCTGTTATTCCCTCATCAAAACGTACCTGGAGGGCTGCTTTGACTCTTTTATGCATGTTTGAGGAATCCTTGAATCTCCTGTTGCAACCATTCAACCCTGCTGTCTCAGAGCATTCCTCCTCAGCTCCTTCAGACTAGTGGCAGCAGCAATTAGCAAACACCTGATGGAACTAAGTTTAACATACAAGCTGTTGCAAAAGCTTCTTATAGGCTTCATGGAGAAAGATTGTTCTGATGATGTGCTGAAGGCGGATTGTCGAAAAGAGCAGGAGCTTCTTAAAGAGACAGAGGCCCAATTTCGAGGCGTCAAATTTCTTCATTACATCATTTAGCATCAGATTATGTTATAAAATGAGAAGATGTGCCTGCAAAAGACTGCACCTTTAATTTAAAATTATTTATTTTATTTTTATTTCTTGTATAAATAATCTGATTTTTTACTATACCAACTGAGTTGCCTGTAACTTATCTAAACAAGATTATTTACCTTTGACCTCCTTCTGCAGGAGTCGGAAGCCGTCCAGGTGCAGGAGGCGCTGGAGGAGGTCAAACAGTTGGAGGAGTAGGCGGTCTACCAGGTTCGAACCACAGAGCTCTGAAAAATAAAAACTAATTCATTATAAAAATCAACATTAAAAACACATTCAGATGAAGCAAAAGTTCAGGTGAAACAGTTTTAAGTTGTAATGTGTATGTTGGACCAGGAGGGGGAGCTGTGCCTGGATATGGCGGAGTGGCAGGAGGAGGCTATCCAGGTAATAGGCATTCTTGTATAGAAATCTTTCAGTCTTGAAGTTTCTATTTGTGTCATAAAAACGCCTCAATGTTAACAGAATCTATTGTTAACTGTGACTTTTCCTGCTATTGTTCCCTAGGATATGCAGGGACAGGACAAAAATGTAAGAAAACTTACTTTGTACTCTAGTTGAGCCACATCACCCAGCATTCAGAGTCTATATTAACTGAAAGCAAGCAGCTTTCTTTGGCTTTTTAAAGGAGGAGGCTACCTTTAGCTAATTTAGCTAATTTTAGCTACCTTTAAAAAGCCATTTTTAAAAAATCTTGGATTTTTCTGTGGAAATAAACAACATCACTGTTTTTTATTTTTCACAACTTTCAGCCAAAGCGCAGAAGGCAGCGAAATATGCAGCCATGCAGGGCTTCCTTGGAACTGGAGGCTACAGAGGTAACAAAGATCAGCTTATATAACCTGCTGTTCCAGAAGTTATTGTGATATTGTTTTTGAGACCATTTTCAAGTAATATAATGGTAGCAAAATAATGCAAGTTCACATTTTTAAAGATCAATAAACTTTAAATTCTAATGAAGATTTAACAATGGAACTGGAAGACATTTTAAATATCCCAAATTAACTAAAAACAACAAATAAAATGGATACTGAGGTCTCTGTAAACAAAATTGCTCTACAAAACAAGCTAGTGAAGACTGAAAACTTTTGTCATCCAGGTTTTTGTAGAAAGAAAGAAGAGAAAAATAACAAATACTGCAAATGGAAATTATTGAGCTAGTTTTAATTCAGCTGGCAATTAACTGATTTATTAATTTAAGAAAGGGTTGGACGTCCCTTATGCCTTCAGAACTGGCTTAATTTCTCTGGAGAAATAACATATTTTGGAAATAAAAGTGTCACTGTTGACATAAACACGACATTTTCATCCACACAACTAACTTTCAACTGATGTTTCCTTTTTTGAGTGGTTATTGTGTGAAAACCACAGTAGATTTGAAGTTTCTGAAAAACTCTTCAGGAAGTCAAGTTCTGACGCCTAAATGCATTAAATTGCTACCATTTGATTTACGTCAACAAGTAAACAGAACAAATGTACCTAATAAAGAAGTAAAATCTATTTGTCACAGAATAAGAAAACGTATTATCACATGTCTAACACTCCTGGTGTCTTTGTACGTCAGCTGGAGAGTAACTGTCTTTGTTCCTGCTATTAGGTGGAGGCTGTCAGGGTAACTACTGTGGCCGAAGGAGGAAGTGAGAGACCGACAGACAGGAAATGACCTCATTGAAACAACAGTGGTGCTATAGCATGATTACAGAATGTCTTAGCTGGTTTAGAAACTAAGGCCTTAACACGTTCAAAAAGCTATATTTCTATTAATTTTTCTGAATATTTCTTAAAATCATCCTTCTGTTGTAGACGAGTTTAATTTAACAATGTATTTACATTGGTTTTCTACAAGAAAAGAAGAGAAATTGGAGAAAACAATTTATTATAAAGTCTGTCTAGGCTGAGAATCCAAAACAACGAGTCACATTTTATGACCAAGCTGTTTAATATAATGTTTTGTTCATAGACGCTGTTAGATATGAATTGCAATATTGTTTATTATGACGTTTTGGGGCAGATCCTTCAGCTCTGTCTGCATGCTGACGCACTGTTAAAAGATACTATTCAATAAAATTGCCTTAATACACTAACACTGAATTTATCTTTAGTTTCACATTTGTCAAAGCCGCTTTTAACCCAAACATTTTGGACTGATCTACAAGCTTTCAGTAGATAAAATACAAACATTTATATTCTTGTGGAAGGAAGAATAACAGCTTTAATGTTCTTCCTATAATCCTTGAAAAGATTTTATTTGTGTCACTGTATTCACACCTCAGGACCTGCAGATTTTAACACTTCTTACAAAGCAACAAAGAATTTTTAATGTAAAATTCTAGTTAATGTGTTTGTATTTGTACAGTAAGGATGTTGTATTGTTACAGAAAGTGACAATGTGACTTTCTGTCAGATTTTTTTATGTGACATTGATCAAATCTAACTAAATATGAAATATGAGGAAAAAGGATGACGACTTCTAACTACTTTTCATTCTTGTCTTTTAACACTGTTGGAAAAAAATGAGCTCACACTTATTAGTATTTTTAAATTATGCAAATAAATGTATTTGAACACCTCTTTTATTTGCCTACATCTTGTAAGTGGGTGTTTTGAAACATGTCTTACACCTTCATAAATAGATGTGTTTTCTACATTGTCCCTAGGAATCAAGATAATTTTAAAATCTTAATGTAAATGAAAATTTCTATCCTGTAGCTTGACATGTGTTTAACATTTGTTTTGTTTGTTTTGCCTATGAAGAAAATTATGAGCTTTTGTACATTGTCTCCGGAAGTAAAGAGAAGAACAATAAAGTCTGGTTCTAATACGGAGTTTGTTTGTCTTTTTATTTCAGCCACAGAAAATTATAATCATAATGCTGGACTTTAATGTTCAAAAATATTAGTCGAGATCAGGAAGAGGAAGTCACATATATAGAAACAGATGTGTGTTTTCACATTTCTATCTGTGGTTACACTTTTAAAACCAGACGCCTAAAAAGGAATTGGAAAATGGCCACTTCGGTGATTCGAACGCATAGAAGAAAAGTTGAATGTCATTTTCAAGTTGACTTATGGAAATCAAAAGATAATTTTGTTAACCATGGGAGTGCAAATACAAATAAAGTGGTAAACAACAATACAAACACATAGCATTTCTGTTTTAACAAATAAAAGCATCAGAAGCTGCAGAAGTAAGTCAAAGTCTTTTTAACAAAGCAGTTTTTAAAAATACTTTTTAACAACTGCAGTTCTCTGGACAGTCATGATTACTGACCTTTACAAAGTTTCACCTGCCAATACCAATTTGCTTTGCCTAAAATGTTGCTAAATATAGCAAGAAAGTCACTGAGTTGGTAACAGTGGGTGACTATGACCTGGTGGGCCGGTCTGTCAGTCAAATCTCTCGTGAAGGCAGAAGAGGACCCTACTAGTTTATAAATTATGTATTTACTCATATTTTGTCTGATTTTTGTGGCTAAACAGGACAGGGAATCATAAAATAAGAATTATCCATTTTTATACTATTAGAAGTCAACCTTCATTATTGTTACTCTCATTACAGTTACATGAATCCTTGAGGAACTTTATACCAAACACAATCAATGGTTCTGTTCTTCTACCTCTAAGCTGCTTTGTCTAATTCTCCTCTTTGTTTGTTGTGTGGGATGAATGGATTGCTTTACTGTGGGATCTTGACAGTGCAGTAATTGGAGCATTCATAAAGAGATTATGCCTGCGCTAATGGGAACAAGCTGGATTTCAAAACATAGACTCTCACACACCACCTCTGTGAAAAGCAATAAACCCTCATCAGGGGATCAGATTTTATTCTGAATTTAGCTCTACTACATTTTGAGGAGTCTGCAGATAAGTGTAACTGTATCTTGCAGGTCTACATACTGGAAAGGACAGGGAAGGGAGGGCGGAGTGCAGCTTCTATAACTGGGATAGGCTTTTTTTCCAGCAACCAGCTGATTTCAGAGGGCTGGTTTTTTTCTCACACTAACAACAAACCACCCGCAGAGAAGGGAACATATGCACAGGAAGCCTTTACACATGGAGAAAAGCAGCAGAAAAGTAAAGGGCAACGCCTGCTACTGTCACGGCAGAGTGAGCGTCTGATTCGCTCAGAAACTCATGCTGCTAGAAACGCTCTTACTCAACTGGGTGGGTTGTGTGTGACTGCTGTGTATCGGTCACTTAGCAGAGCAGAATGTCACGACGGGACCAAAGGTTTCGGAGGGGAATAAAAGGACGGTAAGCACTGCAATTTGTAATCTATGAGACATTAAAATACAACATAGAGTGAGAGAAAGATGAGGAAAAAGACTGAGAGGATGAGAGGAAAAGTACAAGTGCAGATAAATTTCTGCATGTATACTTCCTCAAACTGAACTGACGAAGAGAAGCAAAGCGTGCTTTAATCTTGCTTGTGCTTACACATCAGCTTTGAGAGGAATAGTTTACTTAACACTGAAAACAGGATCCAAAGCAAGCAGCTTATGATCAATCAAGCAACTTTGTTTTACATCTTAACATTCTTCTCCAGATCAGCCAGATAAGCAATCCACAAAACAGGATGTTGACATTTATTCATCCTTAAATAAAACAAAAATCTCTACAAAAAAATACCCAGAAATAAAGTTTCTTACCTTGTACTTTATAAATATATATATATTTTTTAAGGAAGTGAAGTTGGTTAGCACAGACAAAACAATGAGGAAGCTAAGCAGGAGAATCTGTCGGCTAAACTCTTAACATTTAGCATATTAATGTCCTGACATCATAAAACATTAATTTAATGTATTGAAACAAAGACAATGGTAACAGAAGGCTCAAATTATGAGTTAAAGTGGTGAGAAGAAAAAGCAAAAGGAATGAAGTATTTGGAAATATATCTGGGCTTATTCCAGAGTTTTTTCCCAACCAGATGTTCGAGAGGAAGTGCAGCTGGATGGTTTCCCATCCATTGCATGATAAAAAACAACAAAAGGACAAAAAATAATAAATCACCACCTTTTGTCAAGCTTTTATTATCTCATTCTTTCCTTTGTGACGAACGAGAAGCAGGTCTAATAAAGGACAAAAAACCTTCCTTTGATTCAAGCGGATATTTGAACTTTGTGACACAACTGCCTCACAATTTCAGAAATATATTCCCTGGGGTAAAACGGAAAAAAGGAACAGTGCAGTTGCAACACAGAGTACAACAATGACTCATGATTTTAAAGATTACGCAAAGTTTCAGCATTCTCAACAGTTTGGGTGAAATATATAAACTGCATTAATAACACAAAAGTATTTGCTCTCATGCTGACTTCTTCTGCTTGCTTTTCTGTTGCAAATGTTTCAGATTCATATCAGTATCAAATAAAAATATACAAGGTAAATATAAAACCAAGTTTTTACATTATGATGTCAATTACTAAGGGAGAAAAAAGTCATTCAATTCAATCCAGCCATATGTGAAAATGTAACCCAATCATTAGTGCAACTTTTAATGGAGCACAAACCATTAAAGGTTGCAGAGTTTAATGGAAACTCTGGAAAAACATTTGTTATGGCAAATGGAGCCATAACTTTTGGCTCCATTTTCTTGGCAGACGTGTTTTAATTCAGCCAGACTAGAAGCATCTCAACTGGATTTTAGTCAGGACTTTGACAGAATCGCTTCAGAATCACTTCTTTTGTTTGTATTTGAGGAATTGGATGACTGTCCTGCTACATGACAAAAGAGTGGATTTGCTTAAGGTAGACATGGGTATTCCCCTATTTGGGATAGAGAGAATAAATCACAATTCCATCTGGGACTGTTGCAATAAGCAATAATCAATCACATGATAAATTAAAAATAAACTCAATTTCCTTTTGCTTTATTGTTTTTCTCTTTTCTTTCTCTTTTTAAACAATAACTGATCTGGAGGTTTGGTTTCCTCCACCCTTTTGTTGTTTCTGTTTTGTTAATTTATTTAAAATGTCTTCCAGTTCCAGAGCTAAATGTTCATTAGATGTTAAAGATTGTTGATCTTTGAGAATGTGTTCCTGCACATTCGCATACTATTTATTGTGTTGCTTAAAGTGGTTTCAAAACAATTGCATCTCTGGATGCAAGTTTTGCCCAGTCTTTTTCTTATTGACCTTAACTGCAGCAAACAAGACCTTTCGATGTTAACCTCGGCCATTTTGTGAATTCCTAGATGAACTTTTTCCAGTCCTCCTTCTGGAAAAAATAATTTTATTCAAAGAAGTGGCTACATTCACCTGCTGTTGAATTTCTTGATGTGCAACAAATTTTAATAGACAATAAATTCTCCCTGAGGTTATTGCGATTAACGATTATACTGTTTTTTGAGCCCATTAATGGGAATGGCATAAAAATGCAAGAACACATTCTGAAAGATTATGGTAATAAACTTTAAATGCTAAAGAACATTTAACACTGGCACTGGAAGAAATTTAAATACCCAAAACAACAGAAACAACAAAAAGAATGACTTTTTCCTTCAAAACAAAGAAAAAAATGGGCTGCGACCCGAATTAAAGCTTTTATCATCCAATTTTTTGGTAGAAAGAGAAAACGATAAATTACGTAAATAGAAATTATTGAACTTGTTTAGATTTGTGATACAATTAATTGATTATTTGCTCAATGACGTGTTGTTTTTTCAGATACTTGAGCCTACATCATGCTGTTAGAGGAGTTTTATTTGATTGTACATTTGATTCTTTTCGTGACCAAGTCTTGCCATAGTTTGTGAAAATGATCAAAAACAACAAAAGTAACCATAGCAGTCATTTCCACATTGGTTTGGGTGGCTGGTTTCTCTTAAAACCACACACACACACACGAGAAAAATCACCCTTTTATCTACGCCAGATATTCAAACTTATTACAAACTTATTACTTTTTTGTAACAGTCTGAGTTATAAAAAAGCAAAAACAAATTAAATTAGCACTTTTTCACATCATTGTATTTCGTCATTCCTCTATAAGTGAATAAAATTGTACATCTGGTTTCAGAGAAATGCTATTTAATGTGTGAAAGGACACAGAGAAGCTCATTCCTTCCTCCCTTTCTTCTAAAGAATGATCTTTCCCCTTCCTATTGTAAGAACAGTTTGCCATTTACTGTTAAAAGCTGAGAGAGCAGAAACGTGCATCACTGCTCCATTCAGGAAGTCGCCTCCCATTCTGGTTGTAATGTTGACGAGATAAGGAAACAGTTTTTTTAATCAGTCTATTCAAGCCAGGAAGTCAGGATGAGTTTTAGTTTTTAAAGCAAAGAATCTCATTGAGTTGTTTTCTTAAAATGCCTTCCCTCTGCCCAACAGCACCATAAATGCAAAAACGGCATTTAATTGAAAATAGTAAGTTGTCTTAAATCAGTTTTCATCATATTTAGTAAGTTACTTGGAATTTGGGTTAAAAAGTCTCTAAAAACTCACTCTGAGCTAGATTCATGTAGAAGAAGTAGGTTTTTGATAATTATGCTTTTATTCTGAATTAATACTTGAATGCATCCAAGTACAAATGCTTGAGTTATTTTTCTTTACTGGAACCAGTAATTTATCTTATCTCACTCATGAAGATAGACTAATCCCACACATTTAAATAAATCTCAACGTGTTATTTTATCTTAAGCTCGGCTGTTAGCACTACGCTAACTTAACAGTCTGAGCTTGTCAAAGACAGGACTACCGCTGTGTGTTGACCTATGATTAGGGATATCACCACAGTCAACTAATGTTTTTGTTCATTTTTGGGTGATTAACTCAGTTAATTCCATTTTTTTACATCGAAAATCCCAAGCTGGAACCTTTGTAT